AGCGTGGAGCCTGCTTCGGATTCTGTGTCTCCCCCTCTCTCTGCCCCACCCCTGCTTGTGCTCTCTCTCTGTCTCTCAAAAAAAAAAAAATGAGTAAATGTTAAATTTAAAAAAATAAATAAATAAATGAAGACCCTTAGGCTTTGCCCTGCAACAATTCTGAATTGGTGGGTCTAAGCTAGACCCCAGGAGCCTACGTTTTATTTTTTATTTATTTTTTTTCAACGTTTATTTATTTTTGGGACAGAGAGAGACAGAGCATGAACGGGGGAGGGGCAGAGAGAGAGGGAGACACAGAATCGGAAGCAGGCTCCAGGCTCCGAGCCATCAGCCCAGAGCCCGACGCGGGGCTCGAACTCACAGACCGTGAGATCATGACCTGGCTGAAGTCGGACGCTTAACCGACTGCGCCACCCAGGCGCCCCGAGCCTACGTTTTAAACAAGCTTCCCAGGTGATTCTGAAACAGGGAGTCCACAAATCACATGTTGAGCAAAAGTAATGCTAGAGAAGCAGATAGCGATGTAATCTGGCAAATGCCACAACGTGTAGACAGAGTCTGCTGGGGACACAGAGAAGGGATATCTAACCAGACTGGAGAATAGAGTGGACAAGGCTTCCCGGAAGGTAGGCCTCCAGACAAATAGAAGTTGACAAGACGGAGAGGGGAGCAGAGGATCCAGACGCAGGGTGTAGCACCATCCACAAAGTCAAGAGGGCACGAAAGTGCACACAGGTTGTGTGGGATGCTGGAGAAAAGTGTGGGGGAGGGTCAGAAAGGAAGGACCTGGAATACTGAAAGCTAACTTTATCCTAAAAGCTCTGGGGAATGTGGAAACTTTCTAAGCAGGAGAATGAAGGGATCAGATGTGCATTATAGGCAAATCCCTCTGGCAGCAATGCCTTGAGGGTGCAGGACTAAAGAGAGGGATGCCTTGGGGAAGAAGTGGTAGGTCGGTCTCTGAGGAGATGGTAGCCCAGGGCCGAGAGGAGGGAGCAGACACGGGAGGAGCTGAGAGGGCCCAAGGATGACGCTAAGGGTTCTGGACTGGGAGGCCAGTTGGCGTCATTTCCAAAGACAAAGCACACACAGAGAGAGGGACGGGGTCGGGGAGGGCCAGAGAAGACTAGAAGAGGCACGACAGGGAGAGAGGCCGTGAAGAGCGTTCCTTGCTGGTGTAATTGTCACTGCCCTGCTCTACCCCTTGCCGTGTGATCTGAATTCTTCCTTAACCCCACCGTGCCTTGGCTGTTTCCTCTATAAGATACAGATCCTAATAGTATCTACCTTATAGGGTTGTTGTGATAATTAAATGAATTGACACGTACAAGGTGCTTAACAAAAGTGCCTCACACGTTTAAGACTCAATCGATGTTAGCTATTATTTATGGCCAGATTCCTAACTGCTTGCGGTACATTGGGTCATTGCTCCCAATGCTTCGGTCTCTGTTTTAGAATCAAACATCCGTGTCCTTGGCTAAATGACTTTGCGGCACCTCCCGCTAGCACAGAGTACGTTCGTTCTCCTGTTCGGCATCCGTGACTCGCTCTGACACGTGCAGTGTCAGTGACACTGTGACACAAGCAGAGGCTCTAAATATGCCGGTGAGATCGGGCTTGCTCTTTTATGCGTGTGCAATTCACCAGCCACGACCTTGTTGGCCACCGGTTCTGGAACGATGAACACCAGAGAGCAGACCCCTGGACGCGCAACCTCATTGGGGGAGGGGAGGGCACCCAACCCACAGGCTTGTGAGCAACAAAATAAATGAGATACGAATGCTGTCATTACAGAGCATTATTGCAGCAACTGCTAATTAATCCACTGATACAGGAAAACACTTTCTGGCCAATTTTTTAACACTTACTCAGAGACTATGATGTCTCGACACTAGGCTGCTCAAAGGACACAGCACAAGGTGCCCAGGTACTTTAGGTTTCTGACAATACGTCAGGCCTTCTCAGCCTTTGTTAAAAGCAATCACCGGGGTGCCTGGGTGGTTCAGTCGGTTAAGCGTCGGACGTCAGCTCAGGTCATGATGTCGCAGTCCTGTGAGTTCGAGCCCCGTGTCAGGCTCCGTGCTGACAGCTCCGAGCCTGGAGCCTGCTTTGGCTTATGTGTCTCCCTCTCTCTCTCTCTGTCTCTTAAAAATAAACACTAGAAAACGTTTTTTTTTTTTTTAAAAGCAATCGTTATAAAGGTTTCCCAACTTGCAGTCACTGAGAGGTTACTTTGGGTGCCTTCACGCCCACCAGAAGAGAGGTACCGAGCCGGAAAAGTGGCAGGTGGGCAGCCCACTTCTGCTTACGCCCTTCCTTCCCCTTGGCCAAGCTCAACTCATGGCCCTGACCACAGAGTGACCCAACAGAAAGCTAAGTTTAATTATAGGCTTGAAACACAGAAGTGGGCCCAGCTTGACCTCCAAACGTCCTAAGAGCAGCAGCGTCTGCAAGGCCATTCGCTGTGTGGAAAGGACCCACAGGAGCCAGCAGACCTTCTCTCCCTTTATCTGTGAGTGTTTGGGTCTTTGTCCGTCCCTCAGGTGTACCTGATAACCCTGCTTTAGTCTAGACAGCAGAGTGGAGAGAGCACTGGGTCAGGAGTCAAAAAAAAAAAAAAAAAGTTCTGCTGACTGCTTGTGTGACATTGAGTAAATCACTTAAACTGGCTGCCTCTCTGTTTTCCGTCTGTAAAATGGGGATGATAGGACCTGCCCCCAGGTATCACCTAGTTGTCATAAGGATAAAATGAAAATATGCTCTCAAAACTGTAAAACGAGGGGCCCCTGGCCGGCTCAGTTGGTAAAACGTGAGACTCTTGATCTTGAGGTCACGCGTTCGAGCCCCGTGTTGAGGGTGGAGATAACTTAAAAATTAAAAAGAATTTTAAAAGGTACATATTTATTTAAAAAACTATAAAATGGGGCGCCTGGTGGCTCAGTCGGTTAAGCACCAGACTTTGGCTCAGGTCATGATCTCACGGATTGTGAGTTTGAGTCCGCGTGAGGCTCTGTGCTGACAGCTCGGAGCCTGGAGCTTGCTTCAGATTCCGTGTCTCCCTCTCTCTCTGCCCCTCCCCTACTCTCTCTCTCTCTCTCTCTCAAAAATACATAAAGATTAAACATTTTTTAAAACTGTAAAATGAAGTATAAGTAATACATCCTAGCACCAGGAGCTTCAATGTGGGGGCTCGGAGAGTAGGAGCAGGAAGAACAATACGGAAATGGCGCCCCCTTCAGTGCATCTCAGGAACTGCCCCACACCACCAGGAGCAGGCTTCGTGCCCAGCGGGGAGTCCGAGGCTCAGGCATCACCAGGTTTCCTCCTACTTCATGTTCTCTTTATCAGTTGCTTTATGAGTTTCCTCCTTGTTTAAATTCCCCACCCCTGTCTCTTCCCTCGGGTTTGACTTCAGTCTGAACACGGGATCGTCACAGCCACTTAGAATTCTGCCCGAGCCCTCATCATTTCTTTTCTTTCTTTTAAAGTTTATTTCTCTATTTTGAGAGAGAGAGAGAGAGAGAATCCCAAGCAGGGGTCGGAGCTGTCAGCACAGAGCCCAGAGAGGGGCTCAAACGCACAAACCGGGAGATCATGACCTCAGGGGAAGTCAGATGCTTAACGGACCGAGCCACCCGGGCGCCCCAGCTCCGATCATTTTTTATCCCACTGCGGGGCTCCATTCCTCACTGTGGGCCTCTGCTGTTTAGGACATATTAAGTTCTAACAGAGTTCGTCTTTTCCTGTTTGGCTCATCAGTTAGTACTTGCTGAGAAATAAATATTTTTCACCTGCTCATCCACATATTCTGTGCTGTCCTCCAGACAGTGAATTACAAGCCCAAGGCGAGACTGCGAAGAGTTTGCTTCGAGGGTCCTTTCTGCACAGGGTTTTGTTGGTTTTCTTTTGTTTTTGTATTAAGCACCAAGAGCCAAGGACCGGGTGTTCCTGAAACCCTTCTTCCCATTATGCAAAGCCTCACGGTGCCCCAAGGCATCACAGTTCCATCTACTGGGACAAATTTGAGTAATTAACTTTTTAAAAGTTATCTGCTACCTGATAGTATCTTAATGTGCTAACACACTTGTCTTTTAATAGCAATCTTTAAAATCTTGAGTCAAAGACTGGGGGTGGAGAGATTTAAAAAAAAAAAAAGAAAGAGAATGTCCACTTCCAATAAAAAGATTTGCCTAAAGAGATTATTACACATTTACACAAAGAGCCTTACATTTACACAATGATAAAGTGTTCCCATTTTACTAAGAGCCTCACCACCTGCTTGGAGGCCGTGTGATCACCGCTTACGGAGCAGAGGGAGGCCCAGCAAGGTTTCGTATTCGCTCAGGTCTGTAGAACCAGGCCTGGGACTCAACTCTTCTGCTGTGCCCCCATTTTTCTGAAGAGAGTATTTGATGAGGCAGAGGCTGCAAATACTGACTAAACAGAGATATTGATAATTGAAAAGAATCGTTCACAGATTAAAATTTTCCTTCAATTACTATTATTTGGTATTACTGTTCACAGCAGTCATTAATACCCTCTTCTGCTCTCCAGAAGGAAGACTCCAGAGTGTAGAGGTTTTGCTGTGTTGATCGCTATGTTCCTGAAACCATGGCTGACCTTCCGTAAGTACTAATTGAAACAAGCAAACAAAAAAATGAATCAATATGAATAATAAAAAGGTGATGTTATCAATTATGCCTCAGTAAAGCTGAAAAAAAAGAATACACTGAGAAAAATCCACTGGCCTTATTTTTTTTAAGTGAAGTTATGGGGGCACCTGGGTGGCTCAGTAGGTTGAGCATCCGACTCTTGATTTCAGCTCACGTCATGCTCCTAGGGTCGTGGGGTCAAGCCCCGCATCAGGTTCTGAGCTAAGTGTGGAGCCTGCTTAAGATTCTCTCTCTCTCTCTCTCTCTCTCTCTCTCTCTCTCTGCCCCTCTCCCCTGCTCTCACACACATTCTCTCTAAAATAAGTAAACAGATAAAATAAAGTGAAGTTATGTTAGATTGGATTTGTTTTATTCTATGACTGGATAAAAAGTATATAGATTCATTACAGCTTTTTCAAATGAAACAGAAAAGTGAAAAAAACAAATGAACACGTCACACGCATTAGTTTGGCGTGCACGGAACAGAGGCCATGGGAGGACAGGGTGAGAAAGTGGCCGTGTGCAAGCCCAGAGGAGGGCTCTCACCGGACGTCAATCCTGACGACACCTTGATCTTGGACTCCCAGCCTCCAGAGCTGTGAGAAAACAAAAAGTAAAGCCTCTCAGTCTATGGCATTTTGTGGCCACTGGAGCAGACTAATACAGGATACGCTTCTCCTGTATAGGTTCTCCTGAAATACAGGTGGCATTTCTCTTGGGTAAACACCTATGAGAGAGATTCCTTGGTCTTATGGTAGGTGTGTATTTAACTTGACAAGAAATTGCCAAACTGTGTTCCAGAGTCGCTGCATCATTTTGTGTTGACATCAGCTGTAGTTGCCCCACAACCTCGTCAATATTCGGTGTTACCTGGTGAGGCCTTTGCTTTTTTTGTTTTTTGTTTGTTTTCATTTTAGCTATCCTGGTGGGATATACTGGTATCTAATTATGGTACTATTTTACATTTTCCTTTTCTTTTTTAATTTTTTTTTTTTTGAGAGAGAGACAGAGAGTGAGAGAGAGATCAAGTGGGAGAAAGGGCCAGAGGGAGAGACAGAGAGGGAGAGAGATCCTCAAGCAGGCTCCATAATGAGCAGGCCTCAATCCCACCATCCTGGGATCATGACCTAAGCCAAAATCAAGAGTCCAGTGCTCAGTCAACTGAGCCATCCAGGCACCCCTACATTTTCCTGATGATGGTAAGCATCTTTCAAGTGCCTACATGTTAATCATATGTCTTCTTTGATGAAGTATTTGTTCATATTTGTTTCCCTTTTTGTTATCAGGTTGTCTGTTTTGTTATTATTGAGGTGTTAAGGGGTCTTTATCTATCCTAGGTATAAGCATTTCATTCAGTATATGTTTTGCAAAGATTTTCTTCCAGTCTGTCTTGCCTTCATATTTTCTAAACATTGTCTTTCAAAGGGCCTAAGTTTTTAGTTTTTATGTATGTATGTATGTATGTATGTATGTATGTATGTATGTATGTATTTGTGTTTATTTTTGAGAGAGAGAGGGAGAGAGAGAGAGAGAGAAAGAGAGATGCGTGCGTGCATGAATAGGGGAGGGACAGAGAGAGAGGAAGACACAGAATCCGAAGCAGGCTCCAGGCTCTGAGCTGTCAGCACACAGCCCGATGCAGGGCTCAAACCCATGAACTGTAAGATCATGACCTGAACCGAAGTCGGATGCTTAACCGACTGAGCCACCCAGGCACCCTGTTAAGTTTTTATTTTTAATAAAGTCTAATTTATAAGGTTTTTCTGTTATGGTTCATGCTTTTTGGGTTCTAAGAAATCTTTACCTAAACAAAAATGACAAAGGTTTTCCCCTACATTTCTTTCAGAAGTTTTATAGTTTTTTGAAAGTTTATTTATTTTGAGAGAGACAGGGACAGAGCACACAAGCAGGGGAGGGGCAGAGAGAGAGGGAGAGAGAATCCCAAGCGGCCTCTGCACTCCTAGTGCAGAGCCCGATGTGGGACTCGAACCCACGCACTGTGAGGTCATGACCTGAGCTGAAATCAAGAGCCAGATGCTTAACCAATTCAGCCACCTAGGCACCCCAAAGTTGTTTTTTTTCTTTTAATTTTTTTTTCAACGTTTTTTATTTATTTTTGGGACAGAGAGAGACAGAGCATGAATGGGGGAGGGGCAGAGAGAGAGGGAGACACAGAATCGGAAACAGGCTCCAGGCTCCGAGCCATCAGCCCAGAGCCTGACGCGGGGCCCGAACTCACGGACCGTGAGATCGTGACCTGGCTGAAGTCGGACGCTTAACCGACTGCGCCACCCAGGCAAAGTTTTATGATTTTTAACTTTTACATTGAGGCATATGATCCACTTTGAATTAATTACGGCATATGATGAGAGGTAAGAATTGAGTTCATGTTTTTCCACAAGGATATCCTATTATTCTAGCCACATTATTATTTTTTGTAAGTAATCTCTACACCCAACATAGGGCTCAAACTCACAGCCCCAAGGTCAAGAGTTCCATGCTCTACAAACCGAACCACCCGGTCGCTCCTCTAGCAATATTGTTTACAAGACCATCCTTGTCTTCTTTGTCAAAAATGAATTGACATTATTATATGTAAGTCTATTTCTGGACTCCCTATTCTGTCCCATCCATATGCCTATCTTTACATCAACACCATGCTGTCTTAATTACTATAGCCTTACAGTAAATCTTGAAATCTGGTAAAGTTCTCCATTCCTATTCTTTCGTACGTTTGTTTTGGCTGATCTAGATTCTTTCTATTTCTCCACAAATTTTAGAATAAACCCATCAATTTCTATTAAAAAAAAAACAAAAACAACAAACCCAAACAACCTACTGACATCGTGACCAAGACTATGTTAAAACTATAGATGATTTGGGGGAGAATTGACATAACAATAATGAGTTTCTATGCATAAACATGATACATCTAACCATTTATTTAAGTCTTCTATAATTTTTCTTAGAAATATTTTGTAATGTTCAATATTCGGTCTTTGCATTCAGTTTGTTAGATTTACCCCTAACATTTATTTTATTGTTACTACAGGGGCACAACGGTGGCTTAGTCTGTTGAGTGGTGGACTTCAGCTCAGGTCACGATCTCATGGTTCATGAGTTCGAGCCCTACATCAGGCTCACTGCCATCAGCCGGTTAGCACAGGGCCCGCTTTGGATCCTCTGTCCCCCTCTCTCTCCCCTCTCCCACTTGTGCTTTCCCCAAAATAAATAAGTATTTTTTAAAAATATTACTTCAAATGGCATTTTAAAAGCTTTTTATTTATTTATTTTTATTTTACATCTAAGTCAGTTAGCATATAGTGCAACAACGATTTCAGGAGTAGAACGCAGTGATTCATCCCCTATGTATAACACCCAGTGCTCATCTCAAGTGTCCTCTTTAATGCCCCTTGCCCATTTAGCCCATCCCTCCACCCACAACCCCTCCAGCAACCCTCAGTTTGTTCTCTGTATCTAAGAGTCTCTTATGTCTTGTCCCCCTCCCTGTTTTTATATTATTTTTGCTTCCCTTCCCTTCTGTTCATCTGTTTTGTATCTTAAATTCCACATATGAGTGAAGTCATATGATGTTTGTCTTTCTCTGACTAATCTCACTTAGCATGATACCCTCTAGTTCCATCCACGTTGTTGCAAAAGGCAAGATTTCATTCTTTTTGATTGCAAAAACTTTTTATTTGAAATGGCCTGTTGCTAGTGTATAGAAATACCATTGTTTCTCTGAATCTTGCAACTAGAACTCATTAGTTCTAGTGGCTTTTTAAAATTTTTTTTTAACGTTCATTCATTTTTGGGGAGAGAGAGAGAGAGAGAAACAGAGCGTGAGTGGAGGAAGGGCAGAGAGATCTAGTACCTTTTTTGTGGATTCCTTAGGTTTTTTCACATACAACCCCATTTGTGAACGAGACAGTTGTGTTTCTTCCTTTCCAGTCTTCCTTGCCTTATTGCACTGACCAGCACCTCCAGAACAATGGGAAAGAGACATGATGAGGGTAGACATCTTTGTCTTGTTCCTTACCTTCGGAAGAATATATTCACCATTAAGTATGATGTTAGCTTTAGGCTTGTTTTCTGTATGCTTTGGTATCTTGTTAAATCCTGCTGTGACTCAGAACATGGTCACTGTAAATATCTCACATGTGAATGAAAAGAACATTATCTATCTATCTACCTATTGAGATCTCCTACATTTTCTCATTTTAACACTTCCCCACATCTTATATGCGTATTACATTAACATCTTAGAGTTATATCACCCCAATAGATCATATATATATATTTTTTTTTTTTTTTAATTAATTAACTTTGTTTACATCTTGGAAAACTTTAGTTATCAGTATAAAAAGGCTTCCTCATTCTGTTTTCTTCCTCCTTCCTTCTGAATGCCATTAGGTGGCATTTCATCATACAGATGGACCACACTTGACTTAACCAGTGTATCCCACTTTGAAGGGTATTTTTTGTTTTGGGAGTTTTGTTTGTTAATCAGGAAGGCAAATTTCTCTCTCTCTCTCTCTCTTTTTCCCTTTTCTTCTTCTTTTTAACCTTTTGACCCCTTTCTCTCATTTCTCCCACTCTCCACCCTTGCCTCTGGCAGCTATCAGCAGTCTGTACTCTGTGTCTAGGAGCTTGGCTTATTGTTGATGTTGTTGTTCTCTTCCACATAGAAAGAGAAGCATGGTATTTGTCTCTCTCTGACTTATTTCACTTAGCATAATGCCCTCAAAGTCCATCAGTGTTGCAGTAAATGGCAAGGATTTATTCTTTTTTTTTTTTTTAACATTTATTTTTGAGACAGAGAGAGACAGAGCATGAACGGGGGAGGGGCAGAGAGAGAAGGAGATACAGAATCTGAAACAGACTCCGGGCTCTAAGCTGGCAGCACAGAGCCCGACACGGGGCTCGAACTCACAGACTGTCAGATCATGACCCGAGCTGAAGTCGGACGCTCAACCGACTGAGCCACCCAGGCGCCCCAGGATTTATTCTTTTTGATGGCTAAGTCACATTTCTTGGTATATACCACATTCCATTGCATACACCACAATTTCCTTACCCATTCATCCATCGATGGACTATTAGGTTGTTTCCATATCCTGGCTATTGTAACTAATGCTGCAATGAACATGAAGGTCCACGTATCCTCTCGAATTAGGGTTTTCGTTTTCTTCTGACCAATACCCAAATGTGGAGTTGCTGGATTGTATGGTAGTTCTATTTTTAATATTTTGAGAAAACTCCATAGTGGTTTTCAGAGTGGCTGAGCCAATTTACATTCCCACCAGTGAGGCACGAGGGTTCCCTTTTCTCCACATCCCCGCCAACATTTACTATTTCTGGTCTTTAGCCATTCACGTTATAGCCATTTTAACAGGTATGGGTGGTATCTCACCATGGTTTTGATTTGCACTCCCCTGACGATTAGTGATGTTGAGCATCATTTCATGTACCTGTTGGCCATCTGTATGTCTTCTTTGGGAAAGTGAAATTCCATTGTATGAATATACTACATTCTGTTTATCTATTTATCTGTCGAAGGAGGTTTGAGTTGTTTCCACCTTTTGGGTATTATAAA